AATGCACATCGAATCAAGAAAAAATGACAAACGAAAAGCAAAGGGACTGAGGAAAGCAAAATAAGGGCGAAATAGCACCATTTATCAAAATATCAGTTGATTGATAGTGTTATAAATCTGCCGGGACTGCAAATTCGCCTGAAATTGCGTACCAGCGGCGTATCCTATTTGCGTACCAGCGGCGTACCATTCTCCTGCCAGCGGAGTACCTTAGCGTACCAGCGGCGTTCGCGTGCTGCGCTCGGGGATAGTCGAACGCCGCTGGTACGCAACGAAAGTCGGAGTATGATTATGCGGATCAATACTTTGATTAAGCGGAATACTACTTTGACAACGTATACTAGAACAATGGGACCACCTAGGTAGGTCGCGATCGCGAGTACTGCTGCAGACGTGAATGCTGCTATAGCGAGATGCCAATGGTTTCTTATGATCTCTCCCAGCGGTGTGATGTCTGGCACGGTGATGTCACTAAACCATTGGTGGTGTAAAGGCACCGCGTGGGAATCTTCCTCGAACGGCAATGGACCAGCTGATATGTGGTAATTGAGAGTACCTTGAAGAGCAAAAGATACAGGTCCATGGTGGCACTGCGCAGTACATTTCTCGTTGATTACTGCTCGTTCAAGTGCTAGATTAACAGAGGTGGACTCATTATTTGACGAACATTGTATATTGAAATATCGGGTCTCACACGAAATCGTCACCGTTCTCTCAAACGAAGAAAGGCAATATGCAACGAGAGTAGCGCCATGCAAGCAGCTATAACATCCAGTCAGCTTGCTAAGACGAACTTCGCATTCCGCTAAGAATATCTCTTCAGCTGTTTCAGCTAATATTGAAGATGCAATTGACATTGTGAATTCGCTTTCATCCTATTAGCGGGTGTAGACTCTTCGAGGGGTTTTGCCTCGGTATGCAATGTAAAACTGTGAAATAGACAACAAGAATGGTGGTTCAGTGGTTTATTGGGATTAATTACTGTAACCGAGAGCGTGAGATTGTGACCTTGGGTGGTCAACGTGTGATCAAAAGTGAGGTGAGACCTCCCAGGTGGACGCATGGCAGACATGGCCCGCCCACTCGGCTATGACGTCATATGGCACGGGTATCAGGAATCATCGATCGGTCGATGATAATGTTGGCAATGCAATAACATGTTCAGCATGCTTTGGTTATCAGCGAGATTCTAAAATTGGACAGTGCCAGCAATGCTGCAAGTTATCAATATACTTGCCACGCATGCCGCAGGACATAGACGCAGACCAAGGACAGCACCAAGAATATATTGTGAAAGGAATGGCACATGTCCAATAACAGCAGCAGTTTGATCCTTCCAGTCATTTTTAGAAAGTGATTGAACCATGCAGCTTTGAGAAAACATTCTTCTTTTGAGCATAATTAAGCAGCTTATCTCTTGCATCCCCAGCGTTTTTTCAGGTTGACGGACAGCTTCCGTACTTTTTCTCTTTTTTTGCGATTTCTCTGAAAGCCTCAAATTTGCTATACACCTGAGCCAGAAAGAGAAATTTCTCAAATGCCAGCACTATTACTGCGTACACAAAGATAATTCAATATTTCTTATCTTTTTCTGTCTTTGTTGCAGTTAAATTTCTTTGTTCTGTATCTTGGCATCAGCTCTTGTATCACAACAGTGCAGTGGTTCGAGCGATTTAGAAACTACTGGTGGTAAAATCAAAATTTATAGAAATGTTCTTTTTGTTTATCGTGCACGAGCTGGCAAACCCGGCTCCGCCCGGTCCTGTCAATATTGTATTCGAATCAGCATGTTCACTTACCCCTTCCCCACCCTGCACACCCTGCACACCCTGCACAACCTGCACAACCTGCACACCATGCACAACCTGCACAACCTGCACAACCTGCAAACCTGCACAACCTGCACACCATGCACAACCTGCACACCCTGCACATCCTGCACAACCTGCACAACCTGCACAACCTGCACAACCTGCACACCATGCACAACCTGAAAACCTGCACACCATGCACAACCTGCACACCATGCACAACCTGCACAACCTGCACAACCTGCACAACCTGCACAACCTGCTCAACCTGCCAACCTGCACACCATGCACAACCTGCACAACCTGCACAACCTGCATACCCTGCACAACCTGCACACCCTGCACACCCTGCACCCGAATGTGCACAAACAAACTCACAGATTTTCTGCTTTATATTAGGTTGTGTAATAAGTTCGTTCGCATTTTTTGTTTCAATTTTTTCTTAGTATTTGACAAGACATTTGGCATAGTGTTAGTATGCATTCGGAAGCTCTAAGTCTACCCTACCAAAATACTATCATTATATTCCCAGTTTGTAAAAAGTTGAATAAAAAGGTCGACTACAATCCGAAAAATCTGAATTGGCAAAAAACCCATTTTCGACAACTATGTTATGCCGCACCTTGAATGGGTTTGAGCGCTTAAGAAACAGCCCAAAAATTTTGCGACATGTATAAATAGAATACTATAGCTCCCGCAGATTACCTGTAGTGCTAAAACCTTTCAAAAACAATTCATATTGTAAGCTCAAAAATAGGTATGTTTTTATGTCTTTTTGGTGTCAACGTTAAGCATCTGAAGGCACCTCTGAAGAAAGGTGGTAGCCGAATAATCAGAAATTGGCAGACATGTGGTCAATGATCGCTAAATCATCGAATGAATGGCTTATATAGTCAAAAATTCAGAATTCGAGGGACACATAGTCCACGGACGCGAAACAACGAACACCGCTGCGGCAAAGCCTTGCTAGGCCGAGTTTTGCAAAAATTGAATTAAACGGTCGGTGAAAGGAAATGGGCAATCGTAAATAGTATCAGTAAATGCATAAATTGTTAGTCGTTGTTTTTCTTCGTAGTCAAGCTTTTTGAATAAATTTCAACAAAAAATAACGGGAAAACTAAGGAAGAAAAAAGATGTCGAAAATGGGATTTTGGCCACTTCAGATTTTTCGGTTTGTAGTGGATTGTTTTATCCAAATTTTCAAAAACTGAGAATATAATGATAGTATTTTGGTAGAGCAAACTTAGAGCTTCCGAACGCATATTAACACTATGCCAAATGCTTTGTAAAATATTGAGAAAAAATCGAAACAAAAAATGCGAACGAACTTATTACACAACCTAATATATATAGAGATTATGAATTTTAGAATTATCGGTACTTTTCCGTTATCCGGACCCAATTTTACAAAAGGCTCTCATGAAATACGTTACTTACAAGGAAAGGATATCGGTGACCGTGGCCATTAGGGATGAGATATATACTGAAAGATGCAACTCAAAACGCTGATTCCAAATCTGTGCTCGATATCTGCGAAACGATCTTCTAAAGGAAGTTATGTACTTTTTTCGTAGGAAATTTGTGTACTTTTGGGTAGTTAAATTCACCAAAGTTGGTCTAGTTTACCATTTGAAGCTATCGAAAAGAATTTGGAAAGGAGTACCGTTGTATTTATACCTATCTAAATCATAATCAGCATTTGAAAAGGAAAGAAGATTTTTTATTGATTTTTGACTCTCCGCAGTAGCTCAAATTATTCATGAAAAAATAATCATAACTCCATTCAGGTTATCGTCTCGCAGATATAAGAGACAGCTTTCGAAACAGCATTAAAATGCACATTTTTTGATATACAAATCATTGCAAGTGGCTACAATCACCGAGTATCCTTCCCTTGTTAGTCTAAGAACATTTTTTCACAGATTCCTTGAGGACTTTCTCCCCACCACGTGTCAGTTGAAAATTGTCACGCATTGGTTCATTTTGACATGTTTTTTTTCGAAATCATGTCCTGAGAGAACGAGCATCTTTGATCATCTAAATGCTGTTTAATTGTTTCTTGTCACAAAACAATAGAACCTATATCGGAACATTTTAATTGCTTTCAGCAGTGATTCAGAAATACTCTCTTTATCTTCTTCCGCCGTGCAAATTTAGCCAGGAAAGATATAAATGATATCTTGAAGTATCGTGCTGCTGCTTGTTTCGTCACTTCATGATGGAACATTTGCGCACTTCTCTATTTTGGGCAAGCTTAATTGTTCACTGATAACAGGATCACTTAGTTATATAGTAATGCTCGTGTTTGAATTCTCCGGGGCCATCACTGGTTTTGAAATTTGAACTTGCGTTGCTAGGTGGCGCACTCTTAACTTTTGGTAAAACTGTTCAACATGTAAACGGCATGTCAAATTTTTCTGACACGTGGCAGAAGGCATTGGCATTCCTTCCTGTAAAGTTGGGACCAGATAGATATGTCACGAGAAAAGAAGCAATTTCTTTCCTTGAAAAATGGGTCCGGATAACGGAAAAGTATCAAATTATCTGAGGAGACATCGAAATTTCTTCTTCATTTGTCAAAAAGCCGCAAGTGAAGTAGAGTGCAGGGCCAATACAGTTTAATATCTAACAGTTAATATCTATCCCATACTGTTATAGCCCTATTGCGATTTATCCATTTTTTAGTCCATCACCTAAAAGGCAGCACTTATTGACGAATATGATGAGAAAGGCGATTTTCAGCCACAAGCTTAAAGTTTCGCGGCATAATCTTTACGTGTACCATGTGTAGTGTATCTTTACTTCGTATTGATTTTGTTTGGAACAAAAATATCCAAAGATTTGGAAGGTCAAAAGGAAAGAGTAACAGAGAACATAAAAACTGAACAAACTGCCAAACTGACATGAATCAATTTTAACAATCGATTATCTTGCAATCTTACATCTGTTCCATGGACTTTATGTGTTGAAATCAATTTTTCGCCAATGGCTTCTTACATTGCACAATTTAGCTTTTGCTTTTCTTAAGCGTAAAAGCATTGAAAACACGCAAGGATTAGCACTAAATCTTGATTTTTTAAAGTCGGAAAATAAGTGAGAAAATATTGCATTGTGACAAGAACACAAACCGCTTTTGCATAAACCTGCACTATCAAGTTGCCTTCAAGTGTATAAAAAAGCAGCATCATAGAGACGAGGATGCATAAAGTACTGTGGAGACGGGTTGCCACATTGTTGATATTCTCTGTATGTCTCTTGGTTTGGCGGAACTACGATCGAAATTCACTCAGCTCTCATACAAATCCGAAGAAATTTGTTGGATTCCATACGAGCCATGGTCGCCTCGGAAATCAGGTGATACGGTCTATGAAATATGCCGTTTGTTTGTGATATATTTTGCGGTAAGATGTAGCAGTTAAAGGCAGTGGCTCGGCAGAATGAGACCCGTGACAAAACAAGGTCACAGAGTAGGAGCCCTCATGATGAGCCTATGGGCCAAAGTTCAATCACTCGCTGCCACTTCAACCCCGAGAATCCAAGCGGAAGCAGCGCTTCCATCTCCCCTCATTTCCGATTCCGCCCACCCAATTTCAAACACGGACGAGTGGACGCGAACCCCGCCATGGCGAAGACGCAGAGTCGTTGCGGGACCCTTATGCTTATAGAATTGCACAGATATACACTTTTTGAAGTTATCTAGACTGCCCATAATAGGTGATACTTGTTGGCAGGCTCGCCTCCGCTCAGTCTCCATCGATTAACTATGATATAATACACAATTAAACTTCAAGTCTATGCAACATTTTTGTGCTCCCATTCAAATGTATCGGTGGTACTAGGCTTTACAGTAGCCTGAGGCGAAATAGCGCCTCTTTGTGTGTTATACAGAACACATCAGCTGCTGAAGCTTTATGAACAGTCGGCTAGCACACGTGGGTACAATGGTAGAATGCTAACTATGATAGGCGTGGCGATGTATGTTACTAAGCTGGTCAATAAACATACTCATATCACAGCAGGCCATGCTTACGCATGACCTTTACGGTACTTTGGCAGCAGATATCATACAACAAAAAAGGTGCCGATATGATCGGCACAGGATTTTCTTATTCACCATGCTTAGTGTCCACCGCCTTCCTCCCCCCAAACTGCTCATGACATCGGGCTCCCCGACTTTAATGTCATCATGACCTACACCACTGAACAATAAAGCTCATTGGTAGCTGGATTGTCCTGCTTTGTTGAAACCTTGGCAATACGTATGATTTCTTATGCCATACTATGTTTGGTGGAGCTCTTTATTGCGCCCTTATTTTTCGACTTGCCGTCGTCTTCAAAAACCTAAAGTGGTCCGAGATTGATCTTATGCTCCACTCCAATCAGCCTCCAGTTAGTTTTGAATCCTCTCCCCCCCCCCCCCCTGATTTCACTAACACTCTCAGAGTGTGGAAAACGAACCAACCCTTGCCTTGCTTCACCGCTGGAGCATTGTAATGTCGTGCAACCACATTGTTTGGTGTTGGCAGTCCAGATAAGCCATAATAGAAAGCTTGTAGATTGATGTCATCACAGTATGTTTCATAGCTCGGATAGCGGTATAAACGAAAAGAAGCATTCGTGACCATCAAGCATTCTCTTGTGTTTCATCGCGAGGTTTCTTTGCACGATCCAAAATGCTTTGAGATTCCGCGCAGATGTATTGTCTTGTAAGCCAAAAGCATGCACTTAATTTCATAGTTTGCACCACTATGTTGTTTCTGCCTATGCTTCCCGAGTGGTGAATTTGGACTGCCACGTCGTCTTTTATTAGCTAGATCTTTATTCTAATACCAAGTTGCCTCCCAGTCTCGCCAGTGTAGGGGTAAGTGACTTTCATACGATGAGCAGTTGCGAGGTGCGAGGTGTGAACACCTACGGTCGGATGTGCAATCGCGTACCTCTGCGTTTCGTATAGCTTAAAAAGGGGGATAGGAAGGGTAGGGGAGGAGGGAGAGGGACTTTTTTTACGATTGCTGCCACATTATCCTGATTTTTTGGCGACACAATTAAAATCGGCACTGTACTTAAACTCTTTCTTCAAATTATTCAAGCTGTTTTTGTTTTCCCAGTAGAATTAGGATATCATTTGATAGAGCAGATCAAGCATTACAAAATACCCATCCAGGATTTGCCTAAGTCGCATTCCGGAAAGTTTGAAGCCAAAATTGAAAAAAATTTTATCACCTGAAAATTGAATTTATGCGAGGAAAAACTCTACGGACATTCAACTTGGTAGTTGTACAGTAGGCCATAGTAGTACTCAAATATGCCTTTTCCAAATTTTTTCCCAACATAGAAAGCGAGAAACAAAACTTGTCCAAAAATGGCAAACTCCGCCCCCAGCCCCTCCCGCATATGCCATTATATACTACAGGCCTTTATAAGTATAATTCCAAAACCTTACCCCTGTATGTTCTCTTATAATAGAGAAATACCAAGTTTTAACTGAAAAACCCGAAAAAGTGGCATTTTGGCATCTTCGGACCATCTTTATTTCTGAATTTTGAGCCCCGGAAAAAATCCGCCAAATACATTTTTGGGTACTACTATGTCTAGTATATGAAGACCAAGTTGGAGTTCGTAGGAATTATTTTAAAGGAGATCCGTTCAGGGTAGTGGAAAAATTTTGATTTTTGGCCACAAATTTTAGCTGGATTACGAGTTAGATGGATTTTTGGTGGTCTTTTTGTAAAGCTTGCTCCACTCTATCGAATGGTACCTCAAGTCTATTAGGAAAGCAAGAACAGGTCAGTTTACTTGAAATGGAATTTACTTTTGGGACAACCTAATTTCAAATGCATTCAGAGCTTTTTAAAACACAAAGTACATATATGCTACTTGAATGTCCAAATGTCATTAAAAGAGCGCGCCTTTTCACCTCTATTTGATCGCAAGAATCAGCTAAAACTGAAAGCACAGTTCTCAACAGAAACAATAGTTTTGTTACAAATTCTACGTAATTTTTTTGACTTCAATTGTGATAATTTGTTATTTTGCAAACCTAATTTGAGAAAATCGCATGCTCTCTATCGAAAATTTTAGCGTGACCTAAAAGAAGAAAGAAAAGTAAAAGTACTTAGAATTTTGCTTGGGGATTTGAAAAAAATATTATTTTATCCATTTATGTGCCAAAATATTCAAATTGGTTCAAAACTTGTTTCCTTTTCGAGCTGTCTTAAAAACAGGTAGAATAAAGATAGGCAGATGCTCTAACGACTACGCAGCTGCAATTTTTCTTCCTCTTTCCACCACTCATGCTTTGGGACCATTTGCTTTGGTGGTTCTGAGATAATTGCCAAAATTTCAAACCCATGCTTTTTACCATGGCCAACTTTGGCAATTTTTCAAAATCTTCATTGTGAACTTTTGAAAAAACTTTGATAGCTTTTAGATAGCGTGAACAAGTTGCAGTGCAGTGCGTTTTTCTCCACCTATAGCTGGCTTTCCAAAATTCTCAAAACGATATTTTTAATACTATAAAATCCCACTTCTGGTCATCCCAAGACTCACAGAACTTCAAATCGCACATAACTAAGGTGTCATTCAATGCAGCTTTTTCTCCCCTTTCTGGTGGGGTTTCTCCCTGCTCAATTCGCGGAATGTTCGGCAATAAAATTATCGTAATTTGTGGTTTTGAACCCGCCCCAGGCTGTACGCAAGACGTCAAATTTGACATTTGGAAGCCTCTACTCTATTGCCTGTTGATATATAACTATAATCAAACTTTCCAAGTATCAAGTTCCGATGATTTGTTAGTGTTTAGAGCCTTTGTACATTTTGCGACTTCGCAAAATTGAAGGAATTTTTTGGAAAAGTTGTCCTAAAAGTACTAAGAAGCTAATTGAAGTGAGAAATTGCTTTGCATTGCACCTTGTTTACGCCATCTAACTGCTTTCAAAACTTTTCTGAAAGACCAATACGAAAATTTTACATTGCCAAAGTTGGACATGATAAAAAGCATGGGTTTGGAATTTCGGCAATTATCTCAGAAACTACCAAGGCAAATGGTCTCAGAAGATGAATGTGGAAAGAGGAAGAAAATATGCGTCTGATAGTCCTTAGATCATCTGCCTATTTTTATTCTACCTGTTTTTATGACAGCTTGAATAAACGAAAAGAACTTTTGAACTTAATATTAACACATTTTCTAAGGTAAAGGCTTTTTGTCAATTGTAATCGATGTAATATTAGCATCCTGGCTTACCCTCAAAAAGTCAAGGTGACCTCCCCCTTTTCTCCCAGCAGTAGTGGAGAATGTGACTCATTGCGTGGGTAGAAAAGTGCGAAGTAGGCGCTGCATGTTATACATTCTGTCTAACAAATTACTCCCATTTTAGGCAGTCGCCAACACTGCCATGCAGACAAGTTACGAATTTTTTAGTGATGTAGGATTTATCGGAGAGTCTATTGCATACAAGGTTTTTCTTGATGTTGGCATTTGGTAAGACCATTAAAAAATATCACTGCCAGTTGTGCTCGCTCATTGCTTCGCCTTATAGCGACACTCACTTGACAGGTAAGCAGAGAGCATGTTGTTGCGTTGAACTACATGCGACGCATGTAATCAAATATTGGCCCGTAGTAGACCTCTGTTCAGCTCAACTCGGCTGGGGACGGGCCTACGTTGAACGTAGACTGCCTCAGTCCGGCATCCGGTGAGCTACTGATTTGGATGCGGATCGCTTTCTAGATAAAGAAATCTTGTGCGTTCCCAAAAACTAGCACTCTGGGCAGGTCTGTTCTACCGGCTAAGTGAATAGGTTCCAACGCGTAAGACCATGGTTCAAAGCCGGCTAGGGGCCAGATTTTTGCGCCACCACGGACAATCTTTGATATCGTCCTTTCAGCCCGTTGTAGCGGGCACGCAGCCTCAGACGCTCTCCCGCGAAGCGGTTTTGACCGCGGCGCAGGGTCGATACGGCTGATCAGCTGTTCGCCCGTCCGCTGCCACAGGAATTGATGAGTTTTGGATAATTTCTGTATCTTTTTGCTTGCAGATTGCAGCAAAAGGATGGAAGGTAAATTGAAAAAGTCTATTAAGTTTATTAATGAGTGAAATATTGACTACATGAACGAAAATTCGAAAAAAACTGGCTGACATAGCCTTATTGGGAAGTCAGCTTTTTCAGCAAACAACTAACTTATAAATAAACTTAGCAGACTTTCTCATCACCTTCTATCCTTTTGTTGCAACCTGCAAGCAAAAATATAGAGGAATTATCAAAAACTTACCGATTCCTGTGGCAGCGGACGGATGGACAGTTGATCGGCCGTATCGACCCTGCACCGCGGTCAAAACCGCTTCGCGGGAAAGCGTCTGAGGCTGCGTGCCCGCTACAATGGGGTGAAAGGACGATAGCGGCCGCTATCGAGAAAAATCGATGATGGCCGCTATCAAGGATATCACTTAGCAATTGGACAGATAAAACAAAATTAACACATTTTGACAAAGATTTTATGAAAAACTGAAATTTTTGAACATATATACAGGGTGCGGCAAAAGTCTGGGAGCCTAATTTGCAGTATTGCAATTACAAAGGTGCTGGTGGTTCTGATTTCAATTCTATGCCACATGATGTTGCGGTCATCCTCTATAAATGCACTTTATTTGGATGGAAATGGCTGTCACATGTTTTTGTAAGAATGGAAATTACCAAACTAGTACTTTTGCAAAGCAAAAAAACCAGAATTTTTAGTATTTACAATTTTTGCTGTAGCTAGAGATGCTGTTAATATTTTACAAAACTTCGATGCACACAACATAGAAGAGGCTTTGCGCTATTGTATCCTAGTATTGCTTTTGCCAGGAGCTGTTCTTGCATAAACGGAAAATAAAAGTTTGCGAATGTTACCTACGTGCCAGTGAAAATCCGTCTTCAGAACAAAGCTATAGAATGCTCAACAGGCACTGGGACCAAGGCTATATTTTTTGCATACGTCTTCTTAATTAGAATCCATTGTAATTTGGCCATGGGAACATTTTTATACTTTTTAAACGATAATTTTAAGTTTTCATTCGCGCAAATGTAGCCAAAATTCTGGTATGCGACGTACACATGCTTCTAATTGAAAATCCAATGTTTTCATTCCTAAGCAATCCAAAAAATTCTTTTGGAAGCATGTTGTAGATAAAAGCTTGCTCTATCGTGCTCACATTTGCCAAGGTAAAAGAAGCAGTTATTGTGAAGGCGTGGGGCGAATTCCATTACGACTACCTGCGCGCCGTGACAGGTGAACTTGCCAAGATTTTTAGGGCTGCGTGGAAGCCAAAAGAGAAAATTTCAAAATTCAAGAACTGAGCTGTTTCTGCAATGGTTCGAATTATGTATGCACCAAATTTCTCGTTTCTAGGTGCTTCCCTTCCCATTTTATATGGAAAAGTATTAGCTCCCAGACTTTTGCCGCACTCTCTAGAATGAAATATATGAAGGAATTTTCGTTTTGAGCAGCTTTTGAAAAGAAAACCTAGGCAAGCTGTGCAAAAAAGTAAAAACCTATTTTCTTGCTTTCCTCACCGCAATCAGCTGTTCATTGATTCTCTCCCATTAAGGCCGCCGAAATTGTGCAATTTCGGGAGTTTTGCACCCCAACAAGACGTCGACTGAATTTTCTTGGAAGCTACTCACGAGCAACTGACGGGGAATTTGTCTGATTGTCCTCTTTTACGCACTATCTTTCTCGGGTCACCCTAAAAATTCGACCTCGGATAAGTAGCATTCTGGTGAACTGACTGTGACACTTGAACGTACAGTCTTCTGACTGTTGAACTGACTATCCTAAAGCACGGGAAGGTGGGCGGGATTAGGTTCACCCGAGGAAGTTCTCCTGAATGACTAATCTCAAGTCACCTGAGATGAATGGGGGTTTAGTACGGGCCATTGTGTAAGTTATATCCTCTAGCAATATTCAGCGCCAAATTTCGTGCAGTTATGAATATACTATGGGTCGCTCTACTTTTGCAGGCTTTTGCAGAGCGGGCGTGCAATAAGATGTTTTTCGAGCTTATTTTAGGATAACTTTTACAGCAGCATGAGAGCTTGACAACTTAAATGCACTTTTAAATATGGAAGCCATCCGTCGGTCGACTGTTCTCGTGTGAATCTTATGAATCTCTGACATTCAGCAAACGAAAACATTCGTCCATTTTAGATGGATAGATGTTATTATACAAAAATCACCTATATAATGACAGTGGGACAACTGAGGCATGGCGGGACCTTTAAGATATCAAACAACTTCAATGTTCCAACAGTAGGTCTTGACAGCGCCGGAATCTCGATTCTACTCATAATTCAAACCGCCAGAACAGCTACAAGTCCCTGATCCATGGCGGGACCTTTGAGATATCAAACACCATCAGTGCCCTAATAGTGAATAAAAGCAAGGGTTGGTTCGTCTCCCACATTTTGAGAGTTCTAAAATCAGCTGACATCAGGGGGCGGGGGAGAGGAAATGAAACTAGGGAGGTCGATAACGCTGGCGTATAGCATAAGATTTGAATCTCGCACCGGTCTCCGCCCCGAAGACGTCGATAAGTCGAGATGTAAGGCCGCAGTAATCGTATGAAAATACATACAAAGTTCATTGGCTTTCCTTAATCTCATGACTCCCTTCCCCAACAATCTCCTAGTGCCTAGTCCAAAATTTTAGGAAATCAATAGAATTGATGGATACGTGTATGCGTGTCACCATACTATATTTCCTATACTAAGTTTATTTAGTAGGCCCACCTACCACCGTACCAGGTTTAGTTCCTCAGCTCAAAAAATCGGTAAAACTGAAGACAATCGATAATTTCATTGCAGATTATACAAAGGTGTCAAATTGACATTTACCCTTGCGTCAAACAATACGAAGTTAGTAGATGTAGGATCGTTTAAGAGGCACATATCCACAACTGTGAATGATTTCACATCTGAACTCATTTATGAACTTTCCATGCAGCCATAAATCACTTCTCTTATTACAGTTGTTTCATATGATGACTGGGTATGGTATTGCAAGAACACTGAATAGAACGCACTACATACCATATGAGATACATAGAAATCATGTTATGGAGTACTTGTGTCAAATGGAAAAAGTATTTCCTCGTTTGAAGGAGACTTATATCCTTGCAGAGGTAAGATCTATTTTCACTCGTTATATACAATTCCCAAATGTTGCAACGAGCATAATAGATTTTGATGATATGACACTAAGTATTGCTTGAGTTATGAGTTAAAGATAAGAATGATTGACAGCGAGAAACCAAGCAGACAATCGTGCCGTTCAGCTACTGGTGTTGCAACTACATAGACCCATCGATGTATGTTTTCACATGTTTGAATACACTATGTAGCTAAAATCCGAAACATAGTACAGGTACAGCGGAAACACGAATCAGTTTCTGCTTTTGGACTTCAAATATGGACAAAACCCGAAATATTTTGCAGATTATATTGTGGATGTTCGTGCTATTCTGCAATTTTCAAAGGAGGCTGAAAAAAATGGAAGTGATATACTTCTTCTTTTGCAAAAGTGGGAATTCCAACTTTTTTGGTGGATACAAAATCAGGAAATATTTTTTTCGAGTTATTCCGACTCAATGTGCGTGCACACCCGAATGACAGATTTTGTCATACGCAATGCTTCTACGAAAATGAATGAAACGGTAAAAGCTGCAAACTCAATTGCGAAAAAGAAGGTATCTTTAATTTTATGCTTACGCTACCAGTACAATTTCTTTTCAAAGAACTTGTCACATTTTCTAATTTTTGGAGATGATATGAATTTTATGGTGAAGTTGTCAAAGACCCTTGCTAAAGACAGCGGCTGGAGAAAAAATGTAATTTCACTATTGAATATACTCAACTTCAAGCATTTGCACTTCGTGCTTTAGGCAAAGGCCATTTGTTATGGCGAATATATGGATCTGTACATCGCATCTCAGTTGTGCGCCTCCTTTTTAGTTTCCGCACCGAGATCGACCTTTGGTTGGTGGCTTGCATTTTTTGTACAAGATCAGAAAGCGGTATACTATTTGGATGATACAAGGAGGAGTGTGCTCAAAATGCCCATAAAGGAGCATTTTTTGTGAGTTTTTCCAGATCAATTAGCTTCGACTGAACTTATTATTAAGTACAGGGTTTATCAACTGCAATGCGGGAGCACCGACATCTCCGCTCGCGCGGCTGCATCGCCTGAACTCTGCGCCTCTTTGGCGAACATGCTCTCTGATCACTTTCTCACCATGGATGGGAGGAGCCTCAATTGATCGGATATGATTAGAGGGCATATGCGGAAGAGGTGCAGAGTCCCACGCGGGATTGGAAAGTGCATCTGACACTGCAATTGATAAGCCCTGTAAGCTTCCCGAGAAGAAGCATGGCCAAACTTCTCCTTCAAGCAATATGCAAGCGCATTACACCTATGAAGCAAATTAACTTTGGTGCAATTACACTACATTTACTTTTATTCGCAAACCACTTTTGATAGTCGTAACACCGTATATTAGCCTGATACACAAGCTTCGCACCGTGAATATCAAGAACTTATGAGATTCCTTCGCAACTTTAACGAAATTATTTGATTCAATATACATGAGATAGAAAAGATTTGGCTCATTTTTATTGTTCTTCACCGCCATAGCGCCTGATGAAGAGAAGCACTCAAGGTTTTTTGGACGATTGTCAAAATTACTGAAATATCTAATTTAATCTGAAATTAGTTTTGCTTTTGGCATTATGATCCGCTCTTTACACTTCAAAAAATATTGTACTGATCGGACGCTCCTATAAGTGGTTTTGGTTTTCGGACTTTTGTTTTAATTGATTTTGATTCATATAGACCTCTAGTATGTATGTATGTTGAAGTGAAACATATTCAAAGGTTACAGAAAAAATTTGGACTATGCAAAAGTTTTCCAATTGAACCTTCCTCAATTTTCGTGGAATCAAAATAAACAGACATCAAGGAGAGGCGCTCGACTGGTACTTGACCAGCCGCCTGCAGCCGCGCCGTAGTAATTAGCGAGGCGTGATGCAAATTTGACTGTTTTGGTAGACGAGAGGATTGCGTTACGCTGCAGTCCCCCCCCCCCCCCCCCAACTCTCGCTGCAATCTGTCGTCACCGCGCTCTGAGGTGTGAGAAAAAGTGCGAGACCTAGACGGCATATCACACTCCAGTGGCCGTATTCATCAACGAATTCTGAGGGTAAACCTTACCCTCAGAGGTAGGTTTACCCTCAGGGTTCATTGGCTGTATTCATCAACGAACACTTGAGTGAAAGGTAGGCTTACTTCGGAAAGCGATTAACCCGTACCGATCAACGAACCCTGAGAGTAAATTCAACCCTTGGGGGTTAATCTTACCCTCCAAAGTGAACCTTACCCAGAGATTAACCCGTATTCAAGAAGTGGCTAATTTATCAGGGTAAATTTAACCCCGTAACAGGGTAGATTTAACCCCGCACAGAGCAAAACTAGATTCACTCTGACACTTCTACGAACATCAGAAGTGATCTCTCGATGCACTACTCGGTTCTAGCGTGCTGTTTTGACAATAAACACATAATATTCATAATTACTACTAACTCAAACTTCCTATGGCCTCTTTTTGTGGTTTCGTTTGATGTTATTACCCAATATTATAGGCCGAGTTGCTATAGTAGATTTAGTTTCGAATAAACTGCATGTCCAACTAAGGACCGAACATTAATTTCAGTAACTCAGACAGCATTCGTTGTTCAACAAAGCTCGGTTGAGATTTCCTCAATCAGATTTTAGTCAACTATTAGCGTTTTTACACCATCATTTTGTCGTAACTCAACCAAATACGCTTTAATTTGAACAATAAAGTACTAAAGAATTTTATCCTAATTTTTATGGTACGGTCAGACGGGAGTAAAGAGGACTTAGCAAACCTGACATAACATTAATTAGAAATATGTGATTGTTGTCAAGTATCAAGGGCTAAGTAGTGCATCGAAGAATTATGTTTGCATGAAGTGTCATGGTAGAGTTAACCTTGATCTATGCTAGGCTTAAATGTACCCTGATGAATCACGTCCATGAATACGCGTTAATCGCCGGGGTTGAAATTACTCAACCAGTGTAAGTTTAATTCTCAGAGTCTTTGATAGATACGGATTGATCGCTTTTCGGGGTAAGGTTTACCCTCAAGGGTAGATTTAACCCTCTGAGTTGAGCCTACCCTGTGCTTCGTGAATACGGGTTAATCGCTTTCCGTGGTTAAACTTACTCTCGTAAGTTCAACCCTCAGAGTTCGTTGATGAATACGGCTGCAGATGGCAGACATAAATCAAGCTACAAATATGAAAAGTTTTATGATCGTTTGACTACAATCCATGAATTCACTACTACATACAAATGAATCGAAACCTTTTTCGGAATGAACTGAAACCCAGTTTCGGATGGTCTAATTCAAGGGGGTGTAATTCAGCCAAAACAAGAGAAATATGCAAACTGTACATACTTACTGGAAAAAACTTAGACATCGCGATGCAATATGATTTGATGGTCGCTGTGCTGATGCGATTTCTTGAGAGGCACTCTTCTTTAAGGCTTTTCTTAGCAGTGGTAATCTTTTGGCGACGATGGACCTCTTCTCTTCGCAAAGGTTTTATGCTGCGCGGATTCTAAAAAGTCGTTATAGAATTTTAGTATTATTTGACTAATTAATCTCTTCTATGTACAAAAGTGTTCCTGGTGCGAAGATGCCTGTTCTCTGCAAGCATTTGGTAAGTCTCCCAAAGGGAGGATAAATTTTTCTTCCTAACAACCCTCAAAGTTTCTAAACGAAAAATCTCGAGATTCCGTGTGAAATTTTTTATCACTTACTTATAAAATGCTTCAGTCGCATTTATTGTCCTCAATTCTTCAATATCAAATGTGCACTACATCGCGATAAGCCCGTTAAACCATGTTTTTTTTTGAATGGGCCAAAACTTTTTAAAGGGTAGAGATGAAACATGTTTCCTTTCACTGGAGGTTAATGCCGGCATTCTTTCAATAAGTTTTCCTGGCAAAAACTACTCTTCTCCCTTACCCCTTTACTGAGTTCCCTTACAAGAGTCTCACCCACGCTTCACCCAGGCACTTTTTTGAGATCTCAGATATGCTATATATTTTCTGAAAGCGGAGGACGAGGCGGCTCCGACGGTGACTATCTACAGAAGTTACGAATTTTTCCTAGAAACTCGTAAATATCCGGAAAAGACTACTCACACCCTTCACCAAGCACTTTCTTTAACAAACTCCAGGCACTTTATTCAACAGACTCTTCCTTTCCTATACACAAGCAATTCCTGTACAAATATCTTCTTTGCTTAACCTCACCTCACTGTTAATTTTTTTCTCGGCTTTTGGTAAAGGGGGGCCACCTCAGTCTCGATTCAGGGGCGAAGGGGGGAGGGGTGAGCAAATTCTCACACTATCGCACCTATGGGGACGACCAAGCATTCAAATTTAGAAGAAGAATGAGGTTTTGCGTGAATATGGTACAGACAGCCATGGTTGCAAAGTACGCAATGCTAGACGATTTTTAGTCAAGCATTCTTTTCCTCATCGGGAATTTTGTTCGGCAACCGCTGAATTTCTAAAAAGTTCGTAACTGGCGAACAAAAGACATCATTTTTCTGTTCTACTAAGGCGTCGTAAGGGCGAAAAGCTTGTGCGTTGGCAAAGTAAACTAGAGGAGTTCTGACTGAGTAAAGATAAGGCGTGCATCTATCGATACTTACCGGGAACTCGACTATGTCGTTGCTGTCATCAGCATCCACTTCAAAATGGACGCTCTTATTAACAGAGCGCCTCAAGCATCGGCAACTACGTTCGAGGAGCCTTTGAGGTAGTTGACGGTAACATCATGGCTCTGCAGTCACTACCCATCTAGCTGAATTATCGTGTGTTTTATTAAGCGAGAGTAAAAAGGACAGCGGGCGATATTCTGAAAAATTGTGATGTGGATGCTATACATGAGTGCGCGAAAGAACCGTAAGGCGCTAGTAATAGCGAAAAGTTCGAGGTGAGGCTCCACTTGCGCTGTGCTTTGGAAAGCGCCATGCTAAGGTAATCTACGCAAGTATTGATCGTCGTCATCTGGTTCTTGGAAGTGCTGCGTCAACAGCCAGTTGACTGCCGCCTGCGTGAAGAAAAGACCTTTGTCTTGAGGGAATGTAAGACAAGATTATGATGACAAAGACGCTTCTAAACGGTGAAAGACTCTTCTTGAGCGGGTCTTATGAGAAACTGACGTTATTTTACAACAGAACATACAGCGGAACTGTGATGAGAGAGGAATTCGGGGTGAACTTGCGAAAGAAATTAGCCACATCTGCAAAACCTTCTAATTCTTTGATAGTGGTTGGGGTGGAAATATCAGGGATTGCGCGAAGATTCCTATCTGCAGGAGAATATCGCTGTCCGAAATTCGTGGCTTAGACCGTGATAGTGGTTCTTGCGATTTCGCGCAGCTTTTTACGGAAACTTTGATGTTGAAGATAAGGAAGCGGTAAAAGAACACGTAGTGAATGCAAGTGGCTGGGGAATCTTTGTTGAAGATGACAATGTCGTTCAGGTAAACGAGACAGTTGTCCTCAACACCAACTAAGATACGAGACTTAGCACGAGGCCCGCACTCCTTAAACTGAATTGTAGGTAAACGATTGGTGCACAACAGTGGCGGACCGAGGGGGGGGGCAGAGGAGGGGGAGGGCGCGCGCCCCCTTCCCCCCCCCCCCCCTCCGAGCATGGGTCGCGAAATTTTTGAAACTTATATACATGGGTTATAAAAATGTGCAAATGACTTGTTTATTTTTGTAAATAATTGATATATTTTTTGATATTTTTAAAAATTCAAATTGGCTTTGTAAAAAAATTTTTTTCCCTGGGACCGCTGCTGGTGCACACGTCTATGCGTTGGGCAACCGCATTTTTCTTTGGTAATCAAACGCTAGATCCAAGGTTCTACAGAATTTATGCCCAGAAATGTTGGCCAAGATTTTTTCGATTCGTGGCACTGGGTAATGATCAGGGATGGTTAAGTCATTCAAAGGGCGAAAATCCAAGCAGAT